ATGATGTTGACTCTTTCCTGAATTTGGGAGGGAGGGTGGAGGATTGGTCAGGTTCTGCCTGCCTCAGGGAGCACCGTGCCCAGTATGTGAGTGGGTGCCTCCTAGGGCATAAGAAAGTTTGATCAACCCCTCCAACCTGGACACCAAAGTGTAAGGGGACTGTGTGGGTTTTGACCCACGTGGAGGGACTGGAGCTTACTCTGTGTGGCCGTCAGCCCCAAACGTATTATCCTGAAGGCACTTTTCGCTCGCCCATCAGAGGCATGGTGCATTTTCTTTTTCGGCTGGGTGGATCTTTGTGAGGCTGGTCTCTGCTCTAAGAAACTGTACTCATGAAAACCAGCTCCGACTCCTGTGGCTTGGGACCATTTCTTGACCCCCAACCCAACACCTAAAGACATTATCCTAAGGGAAAGCTTTTAGCATCCATTGCCCGGAAACACTTTCTCCAGTCTTTTAAGTCTGAATGAGTCCAGATTAGCAAATGAAGCTATTTCAGAAAACAAAGAAGTTGGATTGTAATGTGACCCCAATTTGAGGAAGGAAGTTTGAAGGCTAAAATTATAGTTTCCCTGATATAACTACATCAAGTCAGTGTTGTGTTATATGGACAACTCTTGGTTAAAGGCCACTCAAACCCTTTGTATTCACTGAACTTCATCAGGACGGTGCTTCCCTAGCATGGGGACTGGGAGAGGGGGTGCTGGGGGAAATAGTGACTCACTGGTTTGCTCAGTCCACCCGCATTACCCCACTCTCTGAATCAGAATTTCCTGCTGTTACAACTTGGGGTTTTCCTTGCTTCTTCCCCATCACTGCCCTTTCAATAGAAAGGATCCATCTGGGGCTTGCTACATGTCTGTTTGTTAAACTGGAGTCTTGCACATGCGTGGGACTGTGATGAGGCCATGTGTATGTACACGGAATCCTACAGCTGCTCAGGGTCCTGCCCTGATTCCAAGACCCCACACCCTGCGTTCCCAGTCATGGGGCATTTGTGTTGTTATCGTCATCATGTTGTAAGCTCAGTTCACTGGCTGCTATGGGTTTCAGTCCATTGAGCTTCTTTTTTTAAAAATTTTTATTAGTGAAACACCATGAGGTACAGTTGTAGACTTACAAATTTTTGTGCTTGGGTTTCAATTATACAATGATCAAATCAGTGAGCTTCTTAAGGAACGTCTCTTGATTCCAGACTTGGGTGACCTTGAATAGAGCTGCAATGGACACAGGAGTGCAAGTGTCTTTTTCTGAATACAGTTTTGGGGTCCTTAGGGTAAATGCCAAAACATATGACTGGATAAGGAAACTATGGTCTCTGTACACAGTAGAATACTACTTGGCCACAAGGAAAGATGCAATTAGCAGCTTGCTTCTATGTGGATGGATCTGGAGCAAATCATGCTGAATGAAGTGAGTCTGAAGAAAGGGGTAGATAAAGAACAATTTCCCTTGGATGTGGAATATAAACAAACATGTCAGGGCAACAATAAATGTCTAAAGGCAACAGAAGCTGATGGAGAGATGATTTTTCAGTAGAAAGATATCACAGTAGAAGGACTGGGGAACAGGATATGAGATTAGTGGGAAAGAGAGGCAGAGGGAAGCTGAAACTCTAGTGGAGGGTTTGGGGTTAGGGTGTTGAAACAAGGAGGCCCTTTCAGGATCAGGGGAATGAGACCCGTTGTTACTGGTTTTGGCATATCGAATACACCACAGGTAGCTTGCCAGGCTCTGCCGTACCCCAAGCCAGAAGTAGCCCAGAACAACTACTCAGAATATCCACCCCAACACCACCACCCCCCACCCGCCCTCCAAAAAATACAAACAAAAAGAATTGATTTAAAATATTCAGTTAAGGAACTGGGTTGATAGCACAGCGGGCAGGGTGCTTGCCTTGCATGCGGCCGACCCAAGTTCAAGTCCCAGCATCCCATATGGTCCCCCAAGCACCACCAGGAATAAATCCTGAGTGCAGAGCCAGGAGTAACCCCTGAGCACTGCAGGGCAGGTAACCCTCAAACCAAAAATAAAATAACTCAAAGCATTGTCTCATTACAGTACTCAAACTAAAATGTAAAAGAAAAAACAAAGGAACTTTCTTTCAAAGCACAGTACTGTCTGGAGCAGGTACATAATCAGATACATGGTCCTGGCATTGGAACCCAAAAAAGAAGCAGCAAGTGGCCCTGCAAGTGACCCTGGCCTCTATCCCTGGTCCCTGCCACCAGGAGGAACCCAATCCTGCTGTTCCACCACCTCTCCTCTTATACAGCCACACACCAGCATCTTCATCCCAAGATTACCAGGCTACACGCTGAGAAATATGCATTGGGTGGTTTGGGCATGGTGTAAGAATTGCAGGTTGCCAGGAACCCACCTAATTGGTCACCCCGTGCCTACTCTGTAAGGGCCAGCCCATGTGCCCGCCCTCATCTGTGTGGTCCAACCTTGAGCAAAACTCCAAATAACACAGCGTTCTCGGGAGTCTGATTTCATTGCCTGGCTTAGTGTGACAGTGTGATTCATGGTGGCAAGGTTCATTCTCACTGGGGCCGGAGTGAGACTACAGTGGGTAGGGGGCTGGCCATGCACGTGGCTGACCCAGGTTTGATCCCCGGCATCCCATATGGTCTTCCAAGTCAGGACAGATTCCTGAACACAGAGCCAGTAGTAAGCCTGAGGACTACTAGATGTGGCCCAAAAGCAACAACAATAAAAAAAAACACACGTATGTGTGTGCATGTGCAGACACACACACACACGCACACACACACACATTCTCACTGCTGCATTCTCCTGACACATGCAGCTGTCAACTTAGTGGGCTCTTGGCCAGCTTGAATAGAGCCCTTGGCCAGGGAGCCTGGGCACCGTCAGTATCCCAGTTGCATAACTCTTGCCAACAGTGAGCATCCCATGGCCTCCGTAGCCAGAAGAGAACCTCAAGGCCACGTGGTGCCCGGCATCCAGACTGAGACGATGAGCAGTTTTGCAGGGCACACCCACGTCCTGAGCACTCCCAGCCACACGGTTTAGGGGTTCCCTTCTATCCATTCCTTCCTCAACAGAGTCTGACATTTTCTCTCTCTTTTGCTTGGGCTACCCTAGCAGTTGAGTGTGGTTGGATTTAGAGTTCCTCGAAGCTAATGAGCTGTGAGTGCCTTTTCATACTCACTAGAAGTTCATCTGTTCCGTGAGTTGTCTCTTCAGGCTTCCTGGCCATTTCCCTCTCGTGCCTGTTTTGTTACTGTGTAATGGGCATTCTCTCTGCGTGCTCTGGAAGTGGGGCCTTGGTGGCGATTTGTGTGATGACTGTTTTTTCCTCCACTGTGTGTTGTTCTTTCACTCTCATAAAGGGATCTTTCGATAAACAAATTCTCCTCTTTTTCTTTTCTTCTGAATTTTGTTTGCCTGGTGTTTTGCAGACATACCTAGCAATACTCAGGCCTTAATTCCAGCTCTGCACTTCGGGATCACTCCTGGCAAGTCACGGGGGGTACCGTATGTGGTGCCAGGGACTGAGCTGGGAGCCAACAACATGCAAGGCAAATGCCTTATCTGCTATACTATCTCTCCGGCTCCTCCTATTTTTTTTATTAAAAATTTTTTTAATAGTGAGACATCATGAGGTACAGTTGCAGACTTACACATTTTTGTGCTTGGGTTTCAATTATACAATGATCAAATACCCAGCCCTCCACCGGTCCCCATTTCCCACCACCACGGATCCCAGTATCCCTCCCACCCCCATCCCCCCATCCCACCCTGCCTCTGTGGCAGGGCATTCCCTTTTGTTCTCTCTCTCTCTTATTGGGTGTTGTGTTTGCAAAAGAGGCAATGGGTGGCAATCATGTTTGGTCTATAGTCTACTTTCAGCATGCTTCTCCCATCCTGGGAGGATCCTTCCAACACCCTTTACTTGGTGCTCCCTTCTCTATCTGAGCTCTCTTTTCCCCTAGTATGTGTGGTTGGCCTCCAAGCCATGGAATAAAATTCCTGGTACTAATCTCGGCCATCTTGGGTGTTAGTCTCCTGTTTTGTTACTTTATGTTCCCCAGATGAATGCAATCTTTCTATGTCTATCCCTTTCTTTCTGAGTCATTTCGCTTACCCTCCTATTTTTTAAACACTATTTCTTTTAATGGTTTGTGCTTTTTGTGTGCCACTGAAGCCAGAAACTTTTTTTTTTGCATGCCCCAAGTTAACAAAGCTGTTCTATGCTTCCCTCCAGCATCTTTGTTTAGGTCAGTCGTTCATCTGGCTCAATATTTATGTATTGTATAAAAAAGAAACCAAGTTGCATTTTTCCCATATGATGTCATATCAACTCAGCAGAATTTATCTCAAAATTGTCCATAAAATTTTTTTTTCAGTTGCATTTTCTGACATTTGCCTGGAGAGAACTGCTAATGATTCTTGAAAAACCGCAAACTTAAAACTTACAGTATAATCAATAGACTTTTTAGCACTAAGATAAATTGAAAATCTCTCTTAAATTACACTTTAGCCTATAATTCCAGCATATTTACTTATTCAATATCAGAAAGATTTATAGCTCGCAAAGCCAGCACCATTTCAACTGTTGTTCTCACTTTTCCAGTGGAATTCAGCTCAACACATTTCTTCTGTGTCTACTAAAATTTGGATTTTTTTTTGAGAAGTTGGCTGAAGTCTCAAGTTCCATTTTTATGTCATTCAGGGTTCAAACCACATATGCAAGTGCTCAACCATTTGTTAGTAATGAACCTTCTGTGTTTAGTGTTCAAAATTGTGTTAGAAAAGTGCGGTATGAAGTGACAACTGAGATTACTAGGAATCTCACTTAAGACCCCTATGCCCTCCCTGCTTCCTACTTTTCCACCCATCTATTTCAATGTAAATAGAAAAGGAATAACGTGTGGAAGTTTCAGATTCACACTTGGAAAGCCTCTGAGTGCCCCCTCTGTGGAGCTATTGCCTGGCGCCCTGACATTCTCTCCTGCGGTGGTTTGTTCTAGGTGGTCCTGGTGAGCGGCCATCTAGACAGCTGGGACGTGGGCCAGGGTGCCATGGATGACGGCGGCGGAGTGTTCATATCCTGGGAAGCCCTCTCACTCATCAAAGATCTAGGTAAATATTGAAAAGCTCCTCTCCAACATGTGGGTCTCTGCGGGGACACGACTCACCCAGCACACACAATGCTCCACAGATCGGAGCCCACAGATGTTCCAGGATGCCCTGAGCTCTGTTCTGTCAGTTGAGTCCCAGGAAAGGACTCATTTGTCCCTTGGAGGGAACACACTTTTTGTTCGAGGAGATGCCAAATATTCCAAGTCCCAGATGTGGTCAGTTGCTGGGGGGAAATGAGCAAGCGAACATGCATGTAGCAAATGGGGCCACGTCTGCCAGGGGCCTCGACACGGTTCCTGAGGAGGCATGACAGGGGCTGGGAGGGTGTGGCCTCAGTGTCCTTCCTGGATCAAAGTTAGAGCAATGACAGAAGGGGCCCTTTAGCCAAAATTAAGAATGTAGGTATGCAATTGGTTCCTCCATGTTATTCAAGACCCAGGGAAGAGAGGCAGGAATGAAAATTAAGAGCTGATGGAGAAAGTTTATTTTATGAGCCTTATTTGTGACTAAGACACATACTCACACCATCCGTGCGGTGGCGAAAGCGGTGACTTTTGAGTGAAGTTTGAAATAAGGGGACCATCTGCAGTGAGAGTTCCGGATCTGAGTCAGACCAGTGTGGTCACCGCCCCAGGTGAGAACGTGGGCTGGGGTGAGTTCAGAGTCACATGGAATGAAGACCAGAACATTCCCTCCAGTGAAGTTCTCAGGAGCTCTCTAAAATACATGTCTGTGTGGGTATAACCCTTCCACGAGCACTGCTGAGCCTGTGAATCCCAGCCCAATCTTGCTCATCTTAACATAGATTGCCAGAATCCATTTGCCGAGGAACTGATCTCTCGCGGGCCCTTTCGACTTAAGTCTTAATTGTGTTTTGAGTCTGCGGGGAGGGACAGGTGGTTGGGGACTTTTTGCTCTTATTTTGTTTGGGGCACCTTGGTTTGCGATACTGCTAACAGCAGGGTTCCTTACGTAATCATTTCAGCGTAATCATTTCAGCATCACAGCTCTCGCCAATGTCCCCTTCTCTTCATCACTGCCCCAGTGCCTCCCTCTGCTAGTCCCCCCCAGCCCCTGCTGTGAAAAGCAGTTCCCAGTCTCTGTTGCCTTCAGGCATTTGTTCTTCCTCTGCTGTTTCTTTATATCCCGCATACGGAGATTGAAAGATCATTCCTCGCCCGTCCCTCGTCTTCTGACTCACTTCGCTCAGCATGATACTCCCCAGACCCATCCACACAGCAACAAATTGCATAATTTCATCTTTTCTTAGAGCCGAGTAGGAGTCCACTGTGTATATGGACCGTAATTTCTTTACCCAGTCGTTTGTTCTTGGACACTTGGGTTGTTTCCAAATGTGACCATTGCGAATAGAGCTGCAGTGAGCAGAGGAGGGCAAACGTCCTTTCTGACTCGAGTTTTGGGGCCCTTGGGGGAGATGCCAAGAAGTGGAACTGCTGGACCATATAGGAACTCGAGTCCTGTGTTTTTCGGAGTTCTTGTTGCTTTTCAAGCAGGCCGGTGTGGCTCCTCCTGGCCACGATGGCTGTGAGTGAGACGGTACCCTGAGTCTGCCTCCTGCATTGCGGCACGTTCAGCCGTATCTCTAGCCCTGCCCTCCTGTTGCCACTGGCACTAATCTCTGCAGGTGGCGGCAACCGCAGCAGGTAGGGGCAAGGGGCAGGAATAGAGCATCACCCCATTCACGACGATCACGATCACGACCATCCTGTTGTTCGTCAATTGCCTCGAGCAGACCCCAGTAACGTCTCCTTCGTCCTAGCCCTGAGATTATTTAAAAAGTGCCATATTCAAGGCTCTTTCAGGGTTAGGAGAATGAGACCCATCATTGTTACTGGTATTTGGCATATTGCGTACGCCACGGGGAGTTTGCCAGACTCTGTCGTGTGGGCAGGTTACAATAGGTAGCCTTCCAGTTTGTCCAGTTTGAGACTACAAAACCCAGCTCCCGGAAGCACGCAGCCGCATTTGCGACCATGCGTTATCTTATTATCTCATTCTTACTTTGGACAAACTGGAAGGCTACCCCATTCACATTTTTTAAAAGTCTCCTAGGTGACCTTAACGAGACATTTTTGTCAGCGAGTGAGCTTTGGAAGCTGCAAGACTGAAACCATGATTGGTTGAGAATTCTGGCGAGTCTGTGCCATGGGGTGGCTGAGAACATGGCCCCTGTTCTGAAGCTGTGAGGTCAAGATGGGACTTGCCAACACAGCCTACGGGGGTCTGTATTTAGGACTGGTTGACTCTGAGGCAGAGAGAAATTGTCCAGCAAGTCAAGCCCAACACCAGCCAATCCTTGGAAGGAGATCTGAGCATGTTGACATCTTCTCTCCTCCCCATCTGGGGAAATCCCCATGGCTGCCTGGTCCCCACTTCATTCTGTTCCAGAGAGAGATCAGAAACTTTCCTCTTTGTAGGATGCAGGCAGATACAGGATCTGGAAATAGCCCAAGTGCCTGAAAGGAATTAAAGGGATACACATGATAATTTTTCTGTACCTGCATTGCAAACCATAATGCCCAAAAAGGAGAGAAGGAGAGAAAGAGAAAGAAAAAGAGAGAGTGGGCACATTGATGGTGGGGAATGTGCTCTGGTGGAGGGATGGGTGTTTGATCATTGTGTGATTGCAACCCAAACATGAAAGCTTGTAACTATCTCATGGTGATTCAATAAAATTCACGGATCACAGATCACGGTCCTCCCGTTGTTCATCGATTTGCTCGAGCATGCCCAGTAACGTCTCCATCGTGAGACTTGTTGTTACTGTTTTTGGCATACTGAGTACATCACGGGTAGCTTGCCAGGCTCTGCCATGCGGGCAAGATACTCTCGGTAGCTTGCCGGGCTCTGAGAGGGGCGGAGGAATCGAACTCGGGTCGGCCATGTTGGCTGCGTGCAAGGCAAATGCCCTACCGCTGTGCTACAATTAATTGATCACAGCCAGTTACAGATTTCAATAAAATTAAAACAAAAAAAAGAAAAGAGAGAGACAGAGAAAGAGGAAAGAGTCTTCAGTAGAAGCGGGCTGGAGTGGATGGGGGGGGCAGGCTGACAGGAGGGAAGCTGGTGACATTGGACATTGGTGGGAAGTGTGCACTGATGGAGGGACAAGTGCTGTGTCAGACACATGTAAGGCAAGCACCTCACCGAACTATCACCGTCCCTTGGAAATTTGTTTTACTTCAGTGCATCTGGCAGCCTGGATGTGAGCAGAGAGACAGCGTGCCTGGGAGCTGAACCCACGCAAACCAAACTGAGGGCCCCTAGATGTTGTTTTCTTCATTATTTCCGTCCAACCGTCAACTTGCAGGAGATTTGATCTGCTCCAGATCAGAATAAAAATTACATCTTCTCTGGGCTTGGAAGCTTAATTTCAGTACTCAGCATGGGGCCCTCAATTGCTGTTAATTGAGTTGGATTAATTGCTCGAGTAAATGTCAGACACCACGCAAAGGTGAGGTAATTTTTTTTCCAGCTCTCAAAGTATGTTGACTTCAATTTCTCTGTAGCAAATAGCTTCAATTTGGGCTCCTAAAGATTTCTGAAAACCTCTGTAAAGGCACGACCCCAACCCTAAAAGAGATTGTTTACAGGGCAGTATAACAAGGCATTGTGGCAAAAGGCATGTCTGGGGAAATGAGTGACCTGGACTCACACCCCCGCTCTGGGCCTTTGTCACCAGGCACCTCGGGCAGGTCACTGTGTGTCTGCACAGCTGTCCTCAGAGGTGAAATGGGGGTTCATAGTTCCTTCCTCATGGGATTTTCAGAAGTCAGGTCATGATTCACATTGTACAGTCAGGACAGAACCTGGTTCCAACCCAGTTCTCAGTAAATATTAACTCTTAGTATTCCACCAATGTGGTCCTGATAGGACTTTGTTCTTTTTATTTTATTTTATTTTTATGAAGTAGTTCACAATTTTTTATTACATTTAATATTTGAACACCAATTCCACCACCATTACACCTTCCCTCCACCATATTTCAGATGTCTCCATCCTGAACCCCAACCCCTGCCCCAAAGCAGAACTGAAATGACTTATTTTGTATTTTTTTTGTTATGAATAAATCACTGAATATGCTCCAATAAAGTTTCCTTAGAGTAAAGTGTGTGAAGATTGTTGTATTTCACCCAGGGACCATTAAGTTCTTCTATAGGAGATCACTAACATGTTGTTAAAGGTTGAGCCATATGTGCTTATGCACTGACACACGCATATACACACATACACAACATACACAAACACATATATATGTAAAAATATATTTCCCTTTAAGATTGGTTGTCGTCTACTTTTTTATTTTATTAAAAAATGATTTTAATAGTGAGACATCATGAGGTACAGTTGCAGACTTACACATTTTCGTGTTTGGGTTTCAATTATACAATGATCAAATACCCAACCCCGTCACATTTGGTGTGCTACTCTTGGAATATGCAGTACTCTGTTCTTGATTGTAAAGGAGGGGGCGTCTTTAACTCTGTCCTCCATTTGTTATTCCTTCATCATCTAGCTTAATATGTTCATGACCGAAGGCCAGCTGCCCTGGCCTCTCTGCAGCCACTTTCCCTTTACGACTTAAGTCAACACCCCTTGTGTGGTGGGAATCCCATGATCCTTTCTCCGTTTTCCTCTTTCTCACTAACGATGTCTTCAACATCTCTCTTGCTCACTTCCTGCCTCCACTTGCTACTTCTTTGGTCTCTGTATCTGCCCTGCCCCACCACATCTTGTGGCTGTACCCATTGAGTCTCACTCGGCAAGCTACCGAGAGTATTCGATATGCCAGACACAGTAACAACAAAAGTCTCCAATGGAGACGTTACTGGGCCCGCTCGAGCAAATCGACGATCAACGGGAGGGCCTTTTACCTTTTTACTCCTAAGTTAAAATAATTAAATTAGATTGTCGATTCTACTTGTGAGGTGCCCATGTGCATCCTGAATTAAAAAAATAATACTGATCTGCTCGAACAG